TATATATATATATATATATATATATATATATATATACATATATATATATATATTTATATTTATATATATTCAGGCCTTGGCGGGAAGCGAGAGCTTTAGCTCTCGCTCTCGCCCACACTCCCCTAAAACAGTTTACAGGAGCAATTTACGGCTCTCGCAAAAGTATAATTTTTCTCATGAAGGTATAACTAAAATTACAAAAGAGTGCTAATTTAAATGAGGAGCAGCTCGCACAGCTCCCCAAATTCGTTTTAGGAGAGCTTTTCTCAGCTCTCGTGCTCATTTGTTCCCACCGAGGCCTGTATATTATATATATATATATACATATATGCATATATATATATATATATATATATATATATATATATATATATATATATATATATATATATATTGAGTTTAGATATTATTATAAATGTTAAAAAAAGAACATATATATATATATATATATATATATATATATATATATATATATATATATATATATATATATATATATATATATATATATATATATATATGTTTATATATATAAATGACATAAAATTCATTACAATTGATTATAAAAGTAAAATATTAAAGAAATACTTGTCAAATTCATTGTGATGAGACCACTGCTTTTGTGCTATGATCTTCTTGATATGATCCTTTCTTTCATTAGGACTTAAATAAATATCACAAGCATCATCACAAGCTGAATAAAAAATATACTCTCCATCCATTGGTGCTAAAAACCAACCCCACAAGAGTTGTCCATAATGATAACCAACTTGTGTAGGAGCGTCAAAATTATCTATAACATCTTTTAAACTAGGTTGCTTAGGAAACTTATCAGAATGATAAAGCGCATCAAGGGGCTGCAAGATACTAACATCTTTTAAATTTTGTTCATTTGGTTTATCTTTACCAAGTTCCTCTTCCTGTTTTTCCATCTCTTAAATATTAAACATTTATTAAAATACTATATATGAAACAATAATAACTTGCTTTTCAACCAAAACCAAAATTTAAAAACTAAATTTTTTGGATAAATTGTTTTTAACTTATAATAAATAAGTTATTATAATAATATATATAATATATAATAAATAAGTTATTAAAAAAATTACATAATAAATGTAATTTTTTATTTAACCAAAATTGTCTAATGATATGGCTGTCTAATGATATGACTGTCTAATTAATGTTTAAATTATCATTTTTCTTGGTTATAGTTTCTGTATTAATTTTATGTATACTTGTTTATAATACAAAACTAATAAGTTAGCTACACATTAAGTTTTAGTGTTCCTATTATAATTTTATTAAATTATTTGGAAAATTTCTGAGATTTACTCAAAAGTTATGGAAACAAGTTGAGCATTGTAAATGAACCAAATAACTTCATGTTTTTAGGAGATATGCTATTAAGTCTCTAGAAAGATTTTGATAAAGTAAAACATGCTTATCTACTTTGATTTGATCATTTGGAAGATTTAAGGAAGAATACTATGAGAGTATTACTAAGTTCAATGTTTGACTAGAATTGTTTGATTAAAACTAAAGATTAAAATAAAATATATAGACTATGGATATAACAGATATAACAAATATATACAATAGGTATGCAAAATAATTATGATAAATATACAAAATTAACAAAAAATAATATATTTAGATTTTATAAAATTATATTTTAAGAAAACTACACAAATAGATTTCTTAAAAGAATATGTAGCTTTCAATGTAGCTTTCTCAAAAGATGAACTTTAAAATGGTTGATGACTCTTGTCAACCTTCTAAATCCCTTAAAACTTAAGATTAATTAACTTCAAATGGCTGTAAAATGACCAATAAAAATTCAAAAACATTTTTAAATAGTAACACTTTAACTCGTGTACTTTCAATCATGGAATTAATGATTAAATTAGAAAAAAAATTGATAGTTAAAGATAATTAAAGAGAAAAGTTATTTACCTGTTAACTTTAATTTCAACTTAAAAGCTGCAAATTTAATTTTTTTATTTTTATCAACACCATTTACAACATAAACATTATAAAGACAAAATAACATACTTATAATATCAAATAGTAAACAATGTTAACAAAAAAAAATTCTTTTTTTTTGACAACAAAAAAATATTTATCATTTTGTATTATTATAAAAAAATATTTATCATTTATTATATTGTAATATTTTACAATATTTATCATTTTATTTTTGTCAATAAAAAATTGCTAATTGAGAGTTTAAGGTCATTATTTCAAAATTGAATTTGAATGAACATACCCCCTCTTTCCTTAAAAACAGCTGCAGCTTCTCTAACAACAGACTCTGGATGATCAATGAAATATTGAAAATATTTGCTAGAATCCATTAATGATGGTACCTCAAACCTTTTGAATATTGAAGAATTATTATACATACCATGTAAGACTTTTTTATTAATTGTTTTTTTATGTTCAAAGTTTAAACTCTTATTGAGTACATTTCCATTTTTTGCATTATTTGGAATATGGTTACGTTTATCCCGAGCATCAATTGGTATTGAAGTCAATTGATTATTATGCATATACTGTTGATAAAGAGTTTCTTCTTTGATAGTTAACTGACCAGGATGACGATTGACATGAACAAGAGGAGTGAAAGAATCATCATCATCATCACCATCATCATTGGTTACATCAATTATCTTATGCTTAAAAGGTAAGTTTAAATTTGACTTTTTATTTTGATTTGTTAAATCTCCAGACTTACGACTAAAATGTAAGTTTTTCTTTTGAGATTTATGATTTTGTGATACATCATCATTGAAAGCTTGAGGTGTTTTTTCTTTATCTTGAACATATTTCCCACTTTTTACTTTTTCATTCATTGAACTATTTTTAAACAAACTTTTTTTATCTTCATTTTTTGGTTTGTTACTTGTAGTTTCTTTTAAATTCAAAATTTTTTTTTCGTCATTTTTTGTAGATTTTGAAATGATGTTTGAAGTATTGACAGGAATGTCAAACCTTTTTGCTCCTTTGTCAAGATCAAAGTATACCCAACGATTGATGCCATAATCACCTAAAATAAATATAAATACACTTATAACATTTTTTTCAAACATGAGAATAAAACCATACACTACATATTGTACACACAACACTACATATATAGTGTACACACAATGACTGACTTAAATAAGGAGAACATGCAGAAGAGTGTACATATATTTACTGATTAAAATAGAGAGAACATGCATGGAGTGTAGATACATCGCCTGAGAGTTTTGGTTTAAGCAGGCAACATGTCAATTTAAAGAAATATCTTAGTTAAGAATTCCAGCCTAGTTTATTAGATAAAACAACAGTTTGAGCAAAAAACTTTTTGACAACATTAGTAATATAAAAATATCCCAAAAAAAAAAAAAAAAAGGTCAAGATTTCGAAGAAAAAATTTACTTTTAATGGGTTTCGTTAAAAATTTCACTGACATTTAAACTCATATCTATTTAACAGAAGTGTAAATAAAAAGCAAATTACATTTTCTTGGAAATGGCATAGCAAAAGATGATTACTTACTTGTATTAACAAATATTACTTTTTTCTAAATCAAAAAAAAAAAAAAAACTCCCCTAGAGCAGATGAAAATTTGGTCCAGTGATATAAAATTTGAATTTTTGCATAGAGGCAAGTATTTAAAAAAAAACCTTGAGAGTTTTCTAGCTTAATCTATCTGACTTTAGATTATTATTATTTTTTTTTTTTTGGTAAAGATGATTAAAATGGTAAGTCCTATCCATTTAAAAAAATGTGTATATTTGGAAAGTTAGTGGGGGGGCTTGTCAACATTTTTTGCTACGAACTTTAAATATAAAACGTTTTTTAAATTGTTCCTTTTTTGTTCAAAGAAACTTTATGGTTTTTATCCAAGATTTTTTATCTATTGTTTTAAATTTGAAATAATGATAAGTTAACTTGTCTTTTGTTTCTGGAAGTTTTAATAAAATCTTTATTAAGTTTAATAACACGTTTAATAATCAAATTTAGTAACATATTGTGCACTGTAATTAAAAACAAGAAGACCAGTGACAGATTTTTTCAAATCTTTTATAACCTGGAAATAAGTCCTAGTTTGATGAACTGATTTTCAGCCATTCTATCATATGTAATGTCATTTTTTAACAATTCATTGAAAAACCAGCTATTAAATCCACAAATCTTTACTACCATATAACTAGCTGGCTTTGCTGTTTGTGCTAATTTAAGAGCTATTTTATGTAATTGATTTACAGATAAACATTTAGCAGCTAGGCACATAGCCACAAACTATTTATTTAAATACTAAATGTTTTTTGTTTTTGTTTTTAAAGTCATTTCATCACAGCTTCTGCTGGTTAAAGACTACATTTTGAATATTGTATCATTTAATTAACAGCTTTAAAATCCAAATAATGTGGTATTGCATGGATTGGAGCTATAATAAACCACTAAATATAAAATAGTACTGTAAATAAAACTATTTTAGCCTTCCTTATTGCAATGACATTATATTAGGATACAAACTACTGAATTGTGGCTGAAGAAGATCTTCAGCCACATGTTAAATAAATATCTGTGACATAAATCTGATATGGTGTGAAGCCATCAGAAATCTTAACTTATTCTTAATTGTTTGTACCTTAAAATACTTCAATTCAAAATCAAATAATCATCAAGACTTCCCAAACAAGAAGTTTTGCACTCAGTTGAACTTATTATATTTATTATATCTAATATCTCTAGATCTCTTCTGATCATTAAGAAAATTTAAATCTACTTTTCTACTTTTTAAATTTTTTGTTTCATCTTTCAAGGTAATAACATTACTTTTTTTTTTGATTTTTATTAAATACATCCTTCTCTTTTAAAAACCACATTTTTGCATGGTTTTTGCATTTGTTTAATTTTTTTCTATTCCTTTTCCTATTCCAAGTCAACAATCTTGTTTTTAAATGGCAAATCAAAAGAATTGATTAAAGAACTAAAAACATTTCTTGACAGTTTTAGTCATGAAAATATCAAGTCAATTTAAATTTGCACATAAATTTACAGTTCAGTAATTGTAAATTTATAAGCATTTTACTTTAATATAGTAAACATCTGATATACTGGTCAGTATTTTCTTCAACTGATAAAGGGTGTATAGTAAATTTTTTTATGAGACAACCTCCTATTTCAATACATTGAGCAGTAAAATAATCACAAAGTAGAAATATTGCTATATTAATTGAAGAAATGATTGGATAATCAACTCACAGCATAATCTCTGTAATGGTAATATTGCAATACAGTTTTCTTAATAAGCAATTGCGTTGTGGGTAATATATTGCTGGGCAATTCCATGTGAAAGCATCCAATTTTTTTATAAAACGCAACCCTAATTTTCAGATTTTGCTAATTTTTACACCACTCAAAGATTTTAATAATTTTGACCTTTATTGCAATTTTTGCCTTTGCCTTGAACCAACAAAAATCTGCCATTTTGAAAAATGGTTTTGGTCATTATTTCTTTTCTGTGTGTAATGGAAAGCTGAAAATATGTACACATACATATTTTAAGGCAAGGTATCTGATAAAACAACTTAAAATAATTAAAAATAAACGTAACATTTGTAATTTTGATCTTTATCGCAATTGTACAGGGAGGGGGGGGGAGTTTAGTTACAAAAATGCCGATGTTGTTTGATTTTTTTTTTTTTTCTATAGATGTTGTCCTGAATAGTTTAGTTAGAGTTATAACAAAGAATTGGAAAGTGGTCTTTTCTTAAACAGAAAAAAAAACATGGTTAAATTTACTTGAACTTATTACTTAAAAAACAGGAATTATGAAAAATGAAAGGAAAAAAAAGTGCTTAATACACAGAAGTTGATGTTTAATAATTTTCGAAAAATTTTACCATCACCCTGTGCTTATTAAGAACCCCTACCTCCATTTATTGAATTTTATTCAGGGATGAAGAGTCCCAAAAAAGACTCCGATTTGAATGTCACTAAAAGATTATTTTCTAGTTTTTGGTATCCAGGAGCTCTAAAAAAATATAAAAAAGCTTATAAACTATTAATTGTAAAAAAACTTTTAGTTTTTGAACTCGCACTCGTCTTTATATATATAAATGCCACCAAGGACTCCAGACTTAAAAACATTAACTTCCAAGCTATTAAATCTTATGATTTTTTTCTTTTTGCAGATTATGTCAACCAACATGTTTAGAGCTTCTGAACACCATAAACCAGGATAAAATAAAGATATAAAGCTGGAGTCCTTTTCGGAATTTGTATCCCTGATTTTACTTGTAGTGAACAATCTCAAAATTAAAAACAAAAAATTATCTTTGTTAATTATTTTCTAATTTCTGAGACTGTTCAGGTCATAAAATAAAAATATAAATAAAAATTAAATAAGAAATAAAAATAAAAATTCCTACCTTCCTGTTTGTTAATACCCCTCTCCTCCCCTCCCCCTTCATTTCCTATCTCCCCATTTATTACATCTGAACAAAAACTTGATTTGTCTATTGATTGAAAGAGTTTAACAAGTTTATTAGGCTAAATTTTGTTTGATTATGTGACCAGTATTTTCTATAATTATTTCTCTTCCTTTATTCACAATTTTCTCCACAACTCTAAATCCAATTGAAATAGATAGCGCAAAATTAGAAACATCACCTCCTGAATCAGCAACAAAATTTACCACTATTGCAGTATGTTGCCTAACTGGAAGTCCCTTGTCTATTGCTGTGAGAACTATTTTCTTGTAAATTTTGTTAGGTAAAAAACAAAGGTAGATTGTTTATATCTGTTATGACATTCTAATGATCTGTTATTACATTCTGACTATGAATTAGGTTTTAGGCTCAATTTTATAAATTATTAAAGTCCAAATTAAATAAAATAATAAATGCTCTATCATATAAAATACATTGTCGCACATATAATGTAGAAAGTGATAAAATAATGAAATGCAGTCTCATCCAATAATTGTCTCATCCAAATGTTGGCCACTGGTTAATAAAAAAGCAACTGTTTATTATTCATAACTATTAATTTAGTAAGTAAAACTTGTTTAGTTTAGTAATAAAAATTTTCTTAGAAACATTAAATAAAAAAGTCAGATTAAGATACTAAATTTACTCATTAAATTTATCTACTAATGATATACATTTGACAATGCTTTTTATTTCTGTTTTAGAAAAGACCACAATTTTTATAATACTAAATTATTCAAGACAATTAAAAAAAAAAAAATATTTTATTTTAAACTTAAAAAAAAAAATAGCCTAAACATCTACATTTTTAAATTCAACTCACCCACATTAAAACTTTAATAAATTTTTGAAATTTAAAATCAGAATTTAGTTACCAAGAAAACAGAAAAAGCAAGTCAGCAACAAGTAAAGGAACAATTTGATATGGTCAAAGCTGTTTCAGTTTCATTACTGTCAAATTACTCTCAATTGCTTAACACAATGTGGGATGGGAATAAAAGAATGGATGGGAATATTTATCCAAATGTAATAAATGGGGGGAGATGAGAAAAGAAAAAGGTGGGGGAGGGGGAGGTAGTATTAACAAACAGGTGAGTGGGAATTTTTTCTTTCTTCCTAAAAGTAAGTTTATATTTTCTAATTTTAAAGACCTAAATGGATCTCAAAAATTAGAAAATAATAATTTTAGATTTGAAATACAGTTTCTTTGTTCAAAATTTAACAAACGAGAGGAGGGGTCTTAATAAACTCAGGGTCAGCGGAAAAACTTTTTGAATTAATAAACATCAACTGCTGTGCATTATGATGCACTTAAGAGTACCACCTTTTTTTCCTTTCATTTTTCATAATTCCTGTTTTTTAAATAAAAAAATTAATTTGACCATATTGTTTTTTTTCTGTTTAAAAAAAGACCCCTCTCCAGTTCTTTGTAATAACTCTAACTAAACTATTCAGGACAACATCTATAAAACAAACAAACAAAAAAATCGAGTTACATCTGCATTTTTGTAACTAAACTCGCCCCAGTAAAATTACAATAAAGGTCAAAATTACAGGTGTTATATTTATTTTTAAATATTTTAAATTGTTTTATTGGATTCCTTGCCTCAAAATATGTAAGTGTACACATTTTCAGCTTTCCATTGCACACAGAACAGAAACAATGACCAAAACCATTTTTAAAATTGGCAGATTTTTGTTGGTTCAAGGCAAAGTTTGAGTCATATCTTTGAAACTGTTTGCAATTAGATGATAAAATTTTGGGAATGTTCATAAATTATTACACTCTTTAGGTGGTGTAAAAATCAGCAAAATCTGAGACTTTGGGTTGCATGCCCTGGATGTTTTTACATGGAATCGCCCTGCTGTGTGTTATTTTTTTTTTCAATTCAACTTCCAACATGAAAAACTTCTCAATGTTTTTTGCAATTGCTTGTTGACATTAACAAAAATTTAAAACTTTCACAAAACTTTTTTTTGACTTATCCCACCCCCAGCCACCCTCCTAACCTCCCAAAAATATTCATCATGACTTTATATGGGTAGGACTGACCATTTAAATCATCTTTACTAAAAAACAAAGCATAATCTAAAATCATGAAGATCTAGATATAAAAAATAATTATCATGGTATTTTTGAAATATTTGTAAAACCACCATAAATCCCACCATAATAAAAAAACTTCCACCATAAATACAAAAGATTCCCACCATAAATACAAAAATTCAAATTATTTGTGACTGGACCAAATTTTTATCTGCACTGGTGGGGGAGTTTTTTTTAATATGGAAAAAAATATGATTATTTCATGTTAATACTAGTAAAAATCTTTTGTTGCTATGCCATTTCAAAATTATGAAATGTACATTTTAGTCATACCCCTACTATATTACCCATAACCATGCTTTTAAATATTTTAACTTCTTTTATCCTATTATTTACATTAAAAATGTTAAGTTAGGTTAATTCTTCTTTTCTCAACAATTTTGTGACTTATTTCATTATAAAGGTTAAAAGTATTTAAATAAAAGCAGATAAGAAAAGTAGAAAATTTAAATAAAAAATATATAATTATACAAACATAAAGAAAATATTTTTTTTTAGCCCTAACCAAATGATGTAGCTCTATGTTTATTTCATCTGTAGAAATTTATTGAATTGTTCTCTTGAAAGTTACAGATTATTTTAAGTCTTGAACTTCTTTCCAGCAAAAATCAGGGTAAACATCCATGTTGTTAGCTTTTGACATTTTTATCAGCTGTCTATATGATCTACCCAGTACTTCACAGAATTTTTTTTGTACCTCACTGATCAAATATAGGCAATTTTTAAGGGTAGCTTAAAAATTGCAGCATTAAAAAGCTCAACACTATATTTATCTCTTTTTGTAGTTTTAGAAAGAGATGCAACTTTACAACAATGGAAAAGAGGCTCAAGCTTAGCAGATCGAGCAGGTCCAACTACATATATAATGCATTTTTGGACCTTGTCTAGAAGAGAAAGAGCATCATTAGAAGAACCAACCCAAATATGACAACAGTATTCCATACAGGGACGAATAAGAGATTTGTAAAGGTAGAGAATGGAATCAGGAGTAAGAAAATGATGAGCACAATAAAGAGAAGCAACTATAGCAGAGACTAACTTAACAATTATTTGTTTACATGGTTACCATGAGAGGTCAGTAGTGAATAACAATCCAAGATGACAAAAAAAATGAACCTCAGTAAGAGGGTTCATTATGTAGAAGTTTATTAAGTAATAAACTAGCATATATGCTGGTCTTCTCCATAAGCTCTATTTTTACGGTGTATCAGGTAACATCTGTAAGATTATTGAATCCTTTCTTACCAATCATAGTATAAAACTGTGTTCAACACTTTCTTACTCCGGATTCTAATCTTTAACTCCATAAATCTCAAATCTGTCCTTGTATGAAATATTGTTGCCATATCTGGGGCAGATCTTCCAATGATGCCTTTTTTCTTTTAGACAAGGTGCAAAAACACATTGTTAACATAGTTGGAACTGCTCTTGCAGCCAACCTCCAACTATTATCACATTGCTGTAATGTTGCTTCTCTTTCTCTTTTGGTGTCGTCCATAAATTACATTATGTTTTAGGGGGAGGGGGAGGCAATTTTGTGACGATTTATTATAAGGGGAGGGGGAGAGTCTCGATTTTGTGATGAAAACCCTCAATTGATGTATCTACATGTTGATTGTAAAATCAACTACGCCTAAATCTAACTTAGTCAATGTGTACACTCCATTAACGAAGTAATTACAGTCTGTTTACAGACTGTTACAGCTGTAACAGTCTATGCACAGTGCACGTTCTGCACTTTGACTTTATATGGTCCAAGTGTAGAACTTTATTTAGTTAGTGCACAAAAGTGTGCAGTGACAAAAAAATAACCTTTGCGCACTAAAAAAAAAAAGGAAAATTTGCTACCGAGAGGCAAACCTGGAACCCTTAATGTTCTAGACTGAAGCACAACCCACTCAGCCATGCTCACGTTGTTTATGTAAAGAAAATTATATTTATAAAATAATACTTTTATATGTATAATATATTTTTATGTATTATTATATATAACATATAATATTTTGCATGTATTATATATGGGAAGAATGGGTTTTTAAAATTGGTATCATGTTTAGGATAGGGATGTTAATTTATACAAACTTTAGACGGAACTATTGGGGTAAAAAAAAAAGATGAAACAGACCCCCCCCCCCCCCCATCCTCTAAATTTTTTTTTTTTAATTTTCAGGAGGGGGAGGGGGTACAAAATTGTTGCAAAAAATTAGAGGAGGGAGGGGGGTTAATAAAGTGTTACGGATTTTGAGTCTCTTGTGCCATCTACTAAAATTCATTCTCATGTTACTCGTCATTCAATTAAGTCTCATCTTTTTACTGTGACTGTTACTATGTGCTCCAAAAATTCTTATTTATCTAGTTTTTTTCCTCAAACAATAGTTCTTTGGAATTCGCTTCCTTCATCTTGATTTCTTAATTCATTTAGTTTGATTGATTTCCTGATTCATATAATTTGCAATTCTTTAAGTCATCTGTCAATCGTTGTCTTGCTCTATTAACTTTATTATTTCTCTTCCAGTAACCACAACTAGAAAGTAGACTCTTCGAGTATATATATATATATATATATATATATATATATATATATATATATATATATATATATATATATATATATATATATATACACACACACATATATATATTTAAAAAATTTTTTACTGAATATAATATTTTTTTAATACGCTAAATATATAAATACGCTATAGGTAGATATATATATATATATATATATATATATATATATATATATATATATATATATATATATATATATATATATATATATATATATATATATATATATATATATATATATATATATATATATACATATATATATATATATATATATATATATATATATATATATATATATATATATATATATATATATATATATATGTGTGTGTGTGTGTATATATACATACATATCTACTATAGAGTATATAGATTAACAAATGCTTATTAGTTTTGCTTATCTTTATAGCATACGACTTTTTCAGAAAAAGAAGAAAAAAACAAAAAATAATGAAAGAAAAGATTACTGCCCCATCCCAAACTCTTAGTCAATGTAGCAGCACTCTTTATATATATATTTTATTCAGAATGTTTTTTTTTTTTTTATACTTTTTGTATTATTCAATTTTCATTCATTTTATTGTTTTTTAATTATTGTTTTACAGACTATTTTATTTATGGAGTGCAGCAGAGTGTACATATATTGATTGATTATCTAGGAATAGGCACAGCTAAGTGTACATACACCAACTGTCTTAATTAGTGAGAACATGCAAAAAGTGTACATACCTTGACACAGAGTTAGGGTTTGGGCTGGCAGTTTTTTTTATTAAATTTTTTTTTTTTATTAAAAAAAAAAATTTTAATTTTATTTTGGCCTCATCTTTAACTTTTTAACAAATTCACATCAACAAATTATGGTGGAACTTTTAGACAACATTGCAAGGGTTGTGTGTATATACATACATATATACAAGTATAGTATAGTATAAGTAATAGAAAATTGCTGATGTTCCACAAAAACTTTGCTTCTGTGACCAGGAAAATTATATTTTAAAATTTTTGTGTTTTTGAAAAAATTTTATATTTGTATTAAATACTGAGTTTTATTCCTGAACTTCTAAAATTGATCAGTAAGGAAGGAAAATGACCAAGAATATCTAGAACTTTTTATAAAAAATATTCTAAAACATATAAGAAACCTTAAGAACTTTCTAGAAACTTTTGGAACTTTTTTACACTAAATAAAAAACAAAAAAAAATACAAACCTATCATAGCTTTGAAAACATTCTCAAAATGTAAAGTTTGGATACTAGGTATATCACTTCGTTTAGATATCAACCCATCATAGTCTGCATTGTTCAAAGGATAGATAATCAATTCTGCGTTACCTTTTGAAAAATCAGCAATTAGTCTCTTGTTGCCACTGTATTGTTTTGCATAATCAATAATAATATCATCATTTGAATCACTTGAGTTCAGATTGATAACTTTGATTATGTTTTTATTCTCTAAAAGACTTGTAGAACCTTCAGGATATGCATTCCTTTTGTAATTTGTAAATGGAACACCTAAAGTATGCTTAAAGTTCATATTATCAGCTTTATGGTTTTTTTTAAAGAGAATTGATGAAAAATCTTTTAATTTTTTAGAACTGCTTCGAAAAACATCAGAAAGGTGATCTTTGCTCTTTTGAATAGGTGAAATATCAGAAACAGATGGTATATCTTTGCGCAGAAACTTCTTTTGAATAGGTGAAATATTGCTATTATCAGAAACAGATGGTATATCTTTGCGCAGAAACTTCTTTGAATTAACTAGCTCATTTTGATTTCTTGTTTTTAATAAAACATCTTTTTTTTGAGGAGAAATAAAACCATTAGGTTGAAATCCAATTATATTTTGAGCATTACGAAGGAAGTTATTTTGGCTTGGGAATATTGAATTTGAACCAATATGTGAATTTATTTGCTCAAACTGTTTACGTTCGTTGTCAGCATTTCTAATAAGCTTGTCAATTTTATCGCCAACTGGAAAATCTATAAAACGTTGATCTTGAATCATTTTATCACTCACAGGTTCAATAGATATTCTTTCTTCAAGAATCGGAGATGATCTAAATTCTGGATCACTTGAATCAATAAAATGCTCATTGATTACATCATCATCAATATTATCAGTGTAATAAGAATCCGAAATACTATTTCTACGCAAAATAGATTTATCATTTTTCTTAATATTGATTGGAGGGCTCAATGAAAATCTGTAAGGAGAATCTTTTTTATGATATTTAAGTGATCTTTTTTTTCGCTTTGTTTCCTCAAATTCAAATTCTTTTTCTGGAATCTTATGAAAACTCTTGCTACCTAAATTTTCTCTCAAAACAGATGAGTTATCATCTTCACTTAGTTCTTCTAATAAATCAGAAGAATTTGTGTCTCCATTGACTAAAAATTGAGGTAATGAATCATTTGTCTTCTGTAATATTGCACTTATCTTTAAAATCTTCTCATTGAAACCTAATATAAGATTACATTTTTCTCTTTATAATATGAAAAAATACAGATCAACACTTATTTTATTAGAACCAAAAAAATAAAAATTATACAGAAATATTACATTATAAGATTTATTTCATTTACAGTCTCTTGCAAAATTTTAGAATCAGTTAAGTATTTTTTAGGTAAATCCATAACTTATTGAAAATGGCATACACAAATGACATGCACAAAGCTAAGATTTAATTTGAGTTATATACATGTGTATGTATGTAACATAAATTAAATTTATGTACATGTAAATAAAAAGTTTCTTGTACAATACACAAATGAATTGTTGCTAGAACATTTAAATAATGTATACAATAAATTTATTTCATATTTTAATGAATTTAAATCTTTTTTAAATAATGCATTCAAATAAAGTGTTACACATGCTACCATCATTGATTTGCATACCATATATATAAGATAAAGCTTTAATTTGAATACTATACTTAAATAAAGTTTTTATTTGCATACCATTTATAAATGAAGTTTTAATTTACATACCATATATAAAAATGTTTTCATTTGCATACCATATATAAAAATGTTTTCATTTGCATACCATATATAAATGAAAATTCAACTTGCATTCAACATATAAAAAAGTTTTAATTTGCATACCATATATAAATAAAATTTTAATTTGCATACCATATATAAAAATGTGCTTTAATTTCCATACCATATATAAAAGTGTTTTAATATGCATATCATATATAAAACATATATAAAATATTTACAAAACATTTAAAAAAAAACACTTCTTTAAAAACACAGAAAATCTTAAATTTTAAAAAAATGATACTTACAAACACAGTAAGTAGAAATAAGCACCAAGAATTCAAAAACTTTCATGTCTAAAATAAACCTTAAAGAATGAAAATAAATAATGCAATGCAAAATTCTAAAATGCGACAGCAACTTTGATGTGAAATAAAATGACAAATTTATTTAATATAACTAAGTAAAAAGTTTAAAAATTCAAAAACATCTAAAAGTTTAAAAACTTTTGGTTTAATTTTTAATATATTATCTTTAATATATAATATAAGAAATTTCCTACAAGTTTTAATTTTCTTGTATAAAAGCTAGTTAAGATAAATAAAACTTACTACAAAATTTATAAACATGAGGGGTTTCTTCTTAAAGTACCTACCTCCTATTGTGTATAATACAAAAAAAATCTTTTATCAAATTTGCTGAAGACAGTTAAGATAAAGTATACACAGTATGAGGCATGTCTATCTTAACATTATAAAACTAATCAAGCATGCAAAAAGTTTGCCTTGATTAAATTAAAGTAATTTTAAGCAAGATTATAAGTAAGCATGCTATATAATCACACATGTAAATGTAATATAACATTTATTAATATAATATTGTAGAAATAAAGACTCTTTGTACAAAATGTTTTTTTTTTATTATAAATTTTACATTAAACACTTTTTGATGTAAGAAAATACATGTTACATGCATGCACAAGTTTAAATATATTTTTAAAAATAGTTTAGCCAAGTGCAATATTTATTTTTTAAATTCTAATTCTTATAATGAGAAAAATACTATTTCTCAATTAGAAAAACACTAAATTTTAATAAAGAAATAAGAATCTATAGAATAGATACTAAATATCAAGACTTTGGTCTAATCATAAAAATAAGCAAATTAAAACAATTTTAATTTAAAAAAATTAAAAAAAGAGTATCGCAAAAACTTAATTTCTTCCAGACAAGTATTTTGCAGACCTTTTCCTCTTTATATAAAACACATTTTAGTTATTTTTATAGACTACTTTCAAAAAGTTATTAGTGTCCAAAAGCAAAAGTTATTTCTTATGGTTTCTATGGAAATTTCAATTCATTTAGTGCAATGCTAGAACTTTAGATAAGTAAAAGATAAAATAAAACCAATTATAAAAACTTTGAATTAATTGTTTTTTTATCAATAAATATCAGTACTACTAAATTATAAAAAGATAATAAACCAAACAGAGCACAAGAAAATAATGTTTTAAGAGAAGTGAACATGATGAACATGAACACATTATGTTCACATAAATATTTGTTTAGTTTTCAGTTCAATCCTAGGACTTGAATAAAAAAAAAAAATTTTTTAAAACTTGTTTTAATAAAAAAAACTTGTTTTAAGACTAAAATCATTCAAAAGTTATTTTAAACTTAATGCAAATAAAAAGGCATTATTTTAAACTTAATGCAAATAAAAAGGCATTATTTTAAACTTTATGCAAGTAAAAATGCATTATTTTAAACTTTATGCAAGCAAAAATGCATTATTTTAAACTTTATGCAAGTAAAAATGCTTTATTTTAAACTTTATGCAAGTAAAAATGCATTATTTTAAACTTTATGGGAGTAAAAATGCATTATTTTAAACTTTATGCAAGTAAAAATGCATTATTTTAAACTTTATGGGAATAAAAAGGCATAATGAACTTTCTCTAAAAAGAAAAAAATTAGGAAAGCTTTGATGTCCTTTAAATGGCACCATTTTAACAAATTTAACAAAAACTTTCTTAGGCTATTTTTATCACGCTTTAGATTTCTTTTTAAATTTCAAATTTTTTTAACTTTTAATAATAAAAATACTGCTCTATGAAAAATCTATTTCAAAGAAATAATGTTCTAGGAAAATTATTTCTTTGTATATAAACAGGACACAATGATAGCAATATTTCTAATGAAATGTTTTATCCTATATAATATTCTTTATTATTTTAAAGAATATTATACAGTAAGAAATAACTAGTAAGTCATCCCCTCAAGAGGTTTTGCCTGGTATTAAACGAGAAATATATATTAAAGAACATTATACACACATATATTATATAAATATATTCTGATCATTTTTAACTGAAACAGCAACTTGTATCAATTGAGGGTTTTGTAATAATATATGAAGGTAATAAAACATGAATAATATGTGAAGGTAATAAAAACAATTTAATTAAACGTAAGTTTACAAAACAAATTTAATATTATATGTACAAAAACATATATTATTTTTAATATATTATTCATTTTATATCAATATTCAAAACATAAATAGAATAAATTTAATAGAACAAAACAATGCATAAAAAAAGAATTGAAGTTAAAAAAACTAAATGCATACTTTTTAACTAGGTTTTTGAATTTGTCATAATACAAAATTATCATTTTTGGTTTAATTTTTTCTTTTATAATTCAAAGATTATTTATAAAATTTTTTTTAAATAATAAAAAAAAACATTTCAAAAATTCATATAAAAACTAAGTACATATAAATAAATTTAAAAAAACAAACAAAATCCAGTAAAAAAAAATGTCTGATTCCATTCAAAATCAATCATCATGTTTTGTCATTTCAATTAAAAAACCCTCATGCTTTTCATGTACAAGGTTCCAATACTCAGATTTTTTTATATTTACAAGCCAATTATTCAATTTTGGCCACAATTTTAAATCGAAATGAATCCATTCCAATTGAACTATGACAGTAGCAATATAATAATCTGCTATTGTTGGTAAATCACCTTTGAAAATAAATAAAAAAAGAAATGTAAACATGTTTTATAAAACTAAAGATTTTTTATGAAAAATTCAAATACAATTTCACTTGTTAATATTATATTGTTTCAACCTGTTAAATATTGATCTGAAGCTAGAAATATCCTTTCTATTGATTCTAGAAGACTTGTAAGTTCAACTGTTCCTTTTTCAATAAGAGATTCTGTAGCATCATCTTCAAGTTGGTAAGGTTCTAAAAAATTAGGATAAACCAACCGATAGCCTGCAGTTTGATGCAACTTTGAACTTGCCCAGTCTAACATCGATTTGACCTAAATAAATAAAAATAATATTTGGTATCACAGCTATGTTCTTGACAAAATTTTGTATTTTTGTTTTATAAAAGATTTATAAAATTTAATTTAAAATTGTAAACTTATTTAATTATACAACTTCACTTTAAATTATATAAATTTATTCAATTATATAAATGAGAGTTATTTAATTGAGTCATATAAAATAATTAAAATTCTTAAGCACACAACCCTTAAGAATTTTAGAAATGATTGCATGAAATAATTGCAATAAACTGTAACTTAAGTTAAATTTTTTTTTAGCTAATCATTATTGCAATCATCTAGATTTTCCTATATTTATGAACAATAATGTACTCGATGAGTTATCTACCTTTCATCTCCTAGGATTAACTCTTACTTACTTCCAAAGTTTTTTTTATGTTTTCTATGGTATCAAAATTTTAATAGTGTCGCCTGCTATTATTTGCAAAAAAGAAAAAGAAATGCAACCTTTCTCAAGTCACAATGGAACAGAGGCTCCAGCCTCTGTTCCATTGTAGATTATTTGTCCTTCTATGACAATTACATTACTGTTTAATTTTCTTTTACAGCTGTAAGTTTTTTATTTTCTCTTTATTTTATAACTTTTTTTTTTGATCACTGTTTGGCCATAACTAATTAATAAAATATGGAAAAAGCTGGCTCCTAAAGACAGAAAGAATACTTATGTACACTAAAGAGAATGAATAGTGAGAAATATCTCAGAAATATTCAGAAAAAGAGAGCTAACTTTTGAAGAAAAATTTAAAAGAATATTAGCCAGAAAAGTCAGAAAGAGTTTAGGGGTTTTCTACTTCTAACAATTGATACGATTTTTAATTCTATGGTTTTTTTAATTCTATAATTGTAGTTGGACCTGCTTTATCTGCCAAGTTTGAACATCTCTCCCATCGTCATAAAATTACATCTCAACTTTTCAAGATAATCTTTTTCTTGCTCTTTAACTATATTCTTTGTTTTCTAGTAACTCCCAACATAATAGTTGTTGCTTGCAGTCTTGTTGTAACAACATAATAGTTGTTGCTTGCAGTCTTGTTATAAGTGAATCAGATTAAAAAGTATTCACAATTTTTTAATTTAGACTATTGATTTTTTTAATGATAGCAAAAACAAACCAGTATTTTGAAATCCAATGACTATTTGCGCACAGATAAAAACTTTACCAGAGCTAAAGAGTTTTGCTTGCAGTTACCAAAACATTATTTTGATGTAATTTGCGCCAAACTCTTTTGACATGGCAATACACATTGAATGGCTGCAGAATATGTGACTTATAAGCTAGTGAACAAATTAACAAGATACTGTTTTCACTACAAATAAGTACAATACAGTACAAACAAGTATAGTACATACAATTAGATTAAAAAAACAAACAAAAGCAAAAAACATGTTCATTATTATACAATGGATTTCTGTGAATAAGTATGGCCTGTATGGTTTTTTATTTTTTGATGGCAATAATACATGATCACAAGATACAGAGTGCTTATTTTGGACATAAAAATTTTTTTCATGTCCAAAATAAACACTCTGGATTAATGTTAAACTTGACAAAAATCTAAATTGGTAAAGTTTCTAGTGGAAATCATATTAAATATAATGAAATGTTGCATTTACAAACAACAACCAGCTCATTAGTATGGTCAGTTTCCACCTTCCAATTCTGGAGTGATTGATATACAGGTCAGTTTCTGAGCCAATTTTTTTTTCCATCCATCTTCTATTATCCTGTAGATATTACATTGACTTGAAGTTATGGTGAGGCACATAACTTTATAGGAAATATTACCTATCAGTAAATAGTATTCAAAAGCTAGTTAACAGGCAAGTTTTTTCAGCTAAAGTTGTGATTAAAAATACTAAACAGTTTTTTAAAAAAGCTAATAAGCTAAGTGACATTACAGTGGTGCACCTAGATGTAAAAGATGTCTCTATTTTTTCTAATTTTTTTTTCTCTAATTAAACTGATATAATCTACTTTCTTGTAACTTTAAAGGTTCACCATGCTTGAAGATTAAATCTAAATTTAATCAAAAAGCACCTAATAAATCACCAGATAATTTTATATCATTAACACCATTAATTGTAAAAAAATTGAGAAGAAATTAAAAAAAAAAGGAGAAAAACAAAGATGATGACTATGACAATAAAGAACAAAATCTATGAAACCAATAAAAGGGATATGAGCTTCTATGCATGCTTGAATTTAGAAGATTAAAAAGAAGGCACTATCTTCAGCAGAGATAAAAGACATCAGCCACAAAAACCATCATAAAAAAATCATGAAATTAATCCCAGCCTTATAGTAGTGTGTGACAATAAGAAATAAACATTTAAGAGATAAACATTCAAGAGATAAACATTTAAGTTAAATCATTGCATAATAAACATAAAGAGGCACAAACCAAAGTGCAAAGGTGCATAAATAAGGTTATCTGGATGAAAGTCACAAAGTTAATTATCTAAGAGATTGAGAATGACAAAACTAGGACTTTAGTTCAGCCATTTGTTATCATTCAAGTATTCAAGTCACCAATAACAATATTATCTGAGAGATAAAGAGAAACATCAGAAACATCTGAGAGTGCAGACTTAGGAAGGAAAACAATAAAAAAAAAAAGAAAGATGAATGAATGATGAGGTACTAAAGGAAAGCACATAAAAAATAGTCAGAGGATTCAAACCTGATTTCAAAACAATGAATTGAATTGATACATAAGTATACTTGATACATAAGTTTACATAAGGGAAAGTATGCATAAGTATGCATTTGAGGAAATTTTTGAAGCTTATAACACTACCCCAAGAAATGTGGGACATTAATGTTGAATTTTGTTTTGGAAAAATATTATTTTGATTCAAACATTTTTTTTTTGCTTGTTCAAGGGTCCTAGGGAGGCAAAAAAGTGTATATTCAGAAGTCTTGGGGTATAGTCTTCAGAGTATAGACATTAAATGTCTATACTCTGAAATTTTGGTGAACTGGTAATATGAAAATTTTGAAATTATTTTTTTATATAATACATTATGGTATTGATCAATATTTTCAAAAAAAAAAATGAAAATGACTGCTTTTGCTGTTTTATTACATTAAAAAAAATGTGGTGAAATCGCAAAAAAAAGTGAATTATTTTGCTGAAAATTGTTCAAATGGTAAAATACTTTGTTTAAAACATTTTTATTTTGTATTTGATCAATTTTTTTCTTACATTTTATTTACTACAACTCTATTTTTTTTTACTTTTTTTTAATATATATATTTATGCAGGTTCAAGATTAACAGTAAAAAAATCAACATAATATTATTATTATTAAAATTTTATTATTAATATTATTATTATTAAAACTACTATTAAAATTTTGAACTATTGAGTTTTATATTGCAAAAAGGCTTTTATATACTACTCCATAAAGGATTTAACACTGTGTCCTAACACTAAACACAATTTTGAAGATAACAAAGAATTTTGCATAGAAGCTCATATCCCTTTTATTGGTTTCATAGATTTTGTTTTTTATTGTCATAGTCATCATCTTTTATTTTTCTCCTTTTTTTTTTAATTTCTTCTCAATTTTTTTTTTTTTTTTTACAATTAATGGTGTTAATGATATAAAAATATTGAATCTTATGGACATTCTCTTCCTTCCATTCCAGTCAAACAGGTTGACCCATTGTTAGACATTTAAATCACTCCAGCTTCTGTTGCTAAAGTCATATCTCAATAAAACTCGTCTACAGCTTGTGGTCCAGACAACATTCCTGTCACAGTCTTGCAGAATTGTTCTCCAGAACTTTCTTCAGTTCTCTCTAAACTAATTAACAAGTGTTTGACTGAGTCTTGTTTTCCTGCTTGTTGGATCTGTGGTTCCAATATTCAAAAACTCTGGAGAAAATTCTGACCCTTCCAATTATCGTCCGATCAGTCTTCTTTCTGTTATTAGCAAGGTCTTTGAGTCTTTGATCAACAAATTCCTCTCATCTCATCTTGAGTCAAATAAACTACTGTCAGACAATCAATACAGTTTTTGATCCTCTTGCTCTACGGCTGACTTGCTAACTGCTGTAACTGAAAGATTTTATCCTGCATTAGATGGAGGCAGTGAGGCTAGGGCTATTGCTCTCGACATATCTAAAGCTTTCGACAAAGGGTGGCATGCTGGTCTTCTCCATAAGCTTACTTCATATGGTATTTCTGGGATAGTTTTTGAGATTATCAAATCATTTCTTTCTAACCGGTTTATTAAAGGCATCCTTGAAGGCCAACACTCTTCTTTATTTCCAGTAACTTCTGGGGTTCCCCAAGGTTCCAACCTGGGCCCTGTTTTGTTTTTTATCTACATAAACGATCTTCCTGACAACCATTCATCTAAAGTAGCTCTTTTTGCTGATGACTCAACTTTATACTCCTGTCTTGACAAAAAGTCTTCTCTTTTCGATCACCTAGAACAAGTAGCTGATCTTGAATCCGATCTTATTTCAGTAATAGATTGGGGTTCACAGTGGCTTGTGAATTTCAACTCTAACAAAACCCAGTTGTTTACTGCAAACAACTACCATATGGTCAACATTCCTATATTAATGAATGGCAATACTCTTACTGAGTCCTCCTCTATACGTCTTCTTAAATTATCGTTTATTACTGACCTTTCATGGAAACCATATATACAATCGATTGCTAAATTAGCTTCTGCTAACGTTGCTTCTCTTTATCGTGCTCGCCATTTCCTTATTTCTGATTCCATTCTCTACCTCTACAAATCTCTTATTTGTCCGTGTATGGAATACTGTTGTCATATTTGGGCTGGTTCTTCTAACGATTCACTTTCTCTTCTTGACAAGGTCCAAAAACGCATTGTAAATGTTGTTGGACCTGGACTATCTGCTAAGCTTGAACCTCTTTCCCATCATCGTAAAGTTGCATCTCTTTCTCTTTTCAACAAATACTATCATGGTCATTGCTCAAAGGAGTTATCAT